TCGAAACCTTACTGTTACGTTCTATGAAAAGTGTGTGTGCCCTGCTTAAAGGCCGTGGCACATAGAAAAACTTAAGCAGTAAAACTCAAGCAGTAAGCAAATCAGCCAATCACAGTCAAGAACTTAAGGCACGGCCCTAAGCGGTAGCGAATCCATACCGTTGATTTTTTACTGCTTAAGTCTATGTGCCAAGGCCCTAATAGGATTTTTACAATTCAAGAATAATCGACTGTGGTTGGTCAATAGCTTACTGCTCACGTCTTACTGCATACTTTTACGGCTATTGTAGACGAGCCATTAGGGTGCAGTCCCATGGACTGATATTTTCCGCGTAACGCGTATCGCGTAACCAATCAGAGACGTTCCGCGTTTTCTGTTACGCTTGTTTTAAAAAATTGCGTATTACGCGAGTTTGCAGCTTGCGCGACTTTTGTGGCTGCGTTCGGGAAGCGCGCTATTAGCGCTATTGCATCATTCTATCTTTATCGCTCATCAGGTGTAAAACAAGGATAGAATAAGCAAATAACGCTAATAGGCTTGTTCGCGTTGCTTGAAATCCCCAAACATTTTTGCACTTAAAATGAGATAAATATATATTCGGCCGTTGGAGAGAGAGAAAGCGAAGATGCTGAGTGCAAAAAGTGCAAGCAACGCGAACAGACCCAATAGCACGCTCCCCGAATCCAGTGTGGTACTCAGCGAGTCAGCGGTAGAGGCGACATGGAGGCACCTGTAAGTTCTTCTTTAGATATTATTATTCTTTGGTTTAAAGTTTACTACAAAAATATGTAAACAGCTGTTTTATTTTTTCTCTTATATTTTTCTTTATTTATTTCTATATTTATTTGTTCTATGTTGGTTTTCTTATTTTGTTTGATGTGTGTTATAGGTTATATTATTCGGTTCTTAATTTGTTAACATAATTATCTTTGTTTACAGCAAATTAAATGTGGATATTGTGTAGTTGGCTCATGGGCACATCAATGCCAAAATATATTACAATATGAATGTTTTAAAGAATACGATGAAAATAAGTACAAGCATTGACGAAAATAATGTAGCTACTATTGGTATACACTTCTTACATGTATCAATTTGTATGTACATATATTATATACAATGCAGAATTATAATCAAACTTTTTTTACAGTGAACAGATTAGACGAAGATGAACTATAGGCCACCGTTATACGATCATCGTTTAAATGTTAAAGAAAGGTCTAATTTTTTATCATTATGAAAATACAATTCTTTTAAGAGTTTTACTTGCTCCATAACGTTCTCACTTTTTGTTTGTAAAAATTGGATAAATCCGGATACTTCCGTTTTACTATTTTGTTTCGCTCATTTTCTTTGTACAGTAAGAAAAGAGTAACTAATTTTTTTAATTTTATGATTGACATTCTATAATCTTTTTTATTTATTGTTTGCTTTTGTAGAGCAATAATAGCTATATTAACTCCGAATTCATTTTAGGTTACGCTTTATTCACTGTCAGTCAGGTTATGGAACATTTAAATATATTTGTATGCATTTACGTGATATTCTGATTTCATCGTTCACATGGACACAAAATTTGCGTAATAAATACTCGCGTAACCAATCAACTGCGACATTTAGTAATGTTTTAACAGAATAGAAAAATATCATTGGTTAAATGCGATACGCTGCTGCCGTTTTATGTACCATGTGCATTAAGGACATTCAATTCCGCGTAACAGAAAACGCGGAACGTCTCTGATTGGTTACGCAAAACGCGTTACGCGGAAAATATCAGTCCATATGACCGCAGCCTTATGCTAAGACTCCATAGATGCGGAAACGCCATGCGGCAGAGTGCGTTGACCAATCACAAATTTTGATTTTGCCGCAGGCGACTTGCGGCAGCCTTCTGATTGGTCAATGCACTTTACCGCACGGCGTTTCCGCGTCTATGGAGTCTTAGCATTACAATGAAGTTCCTCACTAACTTTTGCTCCCGCACAGGAAAGCCACTGTGCCTGGTAGCTAACGGCGCAAATTTCAAAGCAGCGAAAGAATAAAAAAGAATTGTGATAATAATGAGTGGCGAAAAATACGCAAAGTGGTCTGTGGAAAAATTAAAAAAAGAGCTCCGTTCTCGGGGAGCAAAAGTAACGGGGAAAAAGAAGGATTTACAAGATCGGTAAAATAGATCGTCAATATAGGTTATTATATCTAATATACTCTTTACCCAGCGAACCAAATTGTCACAGAGTTATTTCAGTTAATGAATGCGAACAAACATTATCGATTGACATACAGTCATAATATTTTTATTACAATACTGATTTTTCCCATATGTTAACAATTGGTGTTTGAAACTCGCGCGGAATACTACCAATTTTGTTCTAACGTTTATTTCTAAAGAGTTCTGACGATAAGCATTATTTATTCATATTTTAAATAATTTTTATCGACCAAGAAAGACGCATTTACGGGTATGTGGGTGAGACGCTGTAGCAAATCTCGGAGTTCTGGCTTATATAAAATATTTTTCGTACAGTTCTAAGCATACTAAAACAATTTCTAAAGAGTTCCGGGCATTGGCAATGTTGTATAATTTTTAAATAAATTAATAACGCACGAAAGTCAGGAATTTAGGGTCTTTCTCGAGCGATAAGAATTATTTAAAAAATGAATAAATAATGCTTATTGCCAGAATAAAATGGGACAACGTTAAAACACGTTCAGAACTACACGAGAATTATAACAGAACTGCCGAAATACGGCCAGCTTCTCACCTTATTTTCGATAAATTCCTGATTTTCGAGCGGTATTAATTTATTTAAAAATTATACAACGTAGCTAGTGTTTGCTAAAGTTAATAAACATATATATACAACGTAGCTAGTGGCGGGAACTCTTTAGAAAATGCTTTAGTATGCTCAGAACTATACGAAAAATATTTTATATAAGCCAAAACTCCGAGATTTCGCACAGCGTCTCATCTTCTTCTGTCATGATTTCTTTTCGGTTAATATTAATTTTTTTAAATATAACACAAAGATTCTAACGCTCGGAACTCTTTAGAAAATGTTTCAATATGCTCAAAACTACTCGAAAAATATTTTACATAAACCGGAACTCCGAGATTTCAACTGACGTCTCAACCGGTATACTCGTTGCATTGTAATTTTTTTTTAGTACCTTATAATTAATTTTTTTGCTTTTATATGGCAGAACTCTTTATAGAACTGTTATAGAACTATAGATCTTGCAAAATCTGATGAGATACAGTGGTGGAACTTGTGTAGGACAAAATGAGACGCTGCGTGAACATAGCGTCTCAGTTTGTACTGACGCGTTTTTTGAAAAAAGCCAGAACTCTCAATAATTTGTGAGTTTCTGCAAAATGATACGATAGCTTCACACACACGTTAGGAAGAGAATGTATAAAGAATTATTAACGGAGATATTTTAATTTAAAAGATCATTAAAATACATATTTTTCAGGAATGTTTTATAGAGAAACGAAGAAAATGAATAACGTTAAACTTTGCATGTTTTCTTCACTTTATTTTAAAAATTTATTTTTATTTTTTAAGTAACAAAAATGCTCTTTTTTTGTTATATCCTGGTCACTATAAATGACAGACGATGTAAATAATTCTAGCTGTTTTAGGTATCTGAAACGCAAAAAACTAAAATTTTTTTATTCTGCATCAGGAGAAGTGTGGCTATCGTCTGAACTAAATCAATATTTCCATTCTGAGCGGCTTTTTTATTTAAAATATTATAACTTTTTTCAAAATTTTATTAGTATTTTATTAAAAGAAAATGTTTATTCTAGTTCAGACGATAGCCCATATCACTTATTCTGAATAAGAAAATTTTTGGTTTTTACGTTTCTGATACCTAGAACAGCTAGAATCATTTACTTCGTCTCTCATTCTTACGTCTTTTAGTGATCAAGATATAATATAAAAGTAACAAAAAAGAAGAATATTTTTCTTACTTAAAAAATAAAAATAGATTTTTAAAATAAGATTAAAAGAACATGCAAAGTTTAACGTTATACGCTTTCTTCGTTCCCCTATAAAAAATTCCTGAAAAATACCTATTTTTAAAGACCTTCTCCGGCTCCAGTCATACTCAACTTGTATTCATGCTTAAAAAGAAAAATTTATTTTACTAAAGTTAATTTACTAAATATTACATATAACAACTAAAAAATAAGAAGTTAACTTCAAATCGCGTACTTTACACAAGTATTTCTCGAAAATGAGTACCGCAAGAGTATTGAAACTTATCGCATATTATTAATTTCTATTTTTATATAAAGCATCATATACTAGTCTTTCAAAAACATTTAGAAAAAACTTTTTTCACAGTTTATTAAAATGTCTGTTTCACAATACCTCGGAATAGGAATTCCGTGTTAAAAGTTAAAACTTTGAAGCTCAATATCTCGATTTTTAACACCGCAAAAGGTACTAAAATTTATACTACACATAAAGCACACCTATAAATTAATGTATATTCACAGTTTCAAGAAAATCTAGAGAAAATCGATTTTCCGGAGAACGTCCTTAAGATCTTTCAAACCAGAATACGCTCTTGTAATTTATTATTTGTCATTAACATATTTTATTATTAATCACATACATATAAGTGTGAGAAAGCATATGGTACAAAATAATTTCAATATTCAAATTATTGTAATAATACAGAAATCAATTATTTACATTTTCTTCTGTTTGTGTATGTGTGACGTTATTGACAATAGTTTCTTTGCACGTTTACATTTTTTTTGCAGATTTTTTACACGCTTAATTTTCACAAGTGTGATGTCAAATACAGACAAGATTTTTGTTTATCTGCTATAAGCGTTATTTTGAATGTAAGATTTTAATAATCAAATGTTTTTAATAATCAAACATTTTCAAACTGCAAGCGGGGGACAAGCAATATCATCTACAGCATGTATCTTTAAAATACTACGATCTTTTCTAGCAGCACTAGCCACTAGCGTATAATTTGTCCGCCGACATTACTAATTTCTTCTGCAGCAACACATAAAATGTTGAACAGTTTTCTCGAATGGTTGTAATAACGTCTGTATGTCCTTGCATTATTAATTCGTTAAGGTATTGCTCACATTCTCATTCTATTAACAAAATTTTAAAAAAAGTTATAATATTTTTAATAATATTTTTAATAAAATTTAAAACTATTAATTTAGCAATTACATCTTCTGACCAAAAGCGTTGGTCGAAATTAATAATATTTCGATGATTGATCCGAAAAAGTGCTGTGTGAATCCGACAAAGCGAGTTGGCTCACGGTTTTTTCAATATTCATATCGGTAAAGACGATTATATATTGCCAGTTACTGTCGATTTAAGCTGCTTTAACTGTTAATGTTATTCTATTCACTGGCGAAATAAATTTATTATTCTGATTTTTAATAATATAAGAGAAATAAGACCGTTTTATGTGTAACCGTTATACAATCAATCAATATTAAATAAGCCGTGTACGATCCGAGCTTGGATCTTAATAGCCTAATAATATTTTTTATAATTTTGTATAATTACACGTATATTTTTTCCAATCTTAATAAATTGCGCGTTGACTAACTTGTCAGACTTACAACACAGCTCCTGTTGGAGTAGTAAATTCTTTACTATTATTTAAATCGATTTAATTAGAAGGGTGTGAGGAGATTTTATTAATCCAATAAGAGCTGTGTTGTAAGTCTGACAAGTTAATCGGCGCGTATTATAGTTGATTAAAAATATGTAAAATAAAATCTAAGCTCAGATCGTAAATGGTTTATTTAATATTGATTAATAATATTTTTGATAAAAAAGCCGCCTAGAACCTAGAATGGAAATATTGATTTAATTCTAGTTCAGTCTATAGCCACACATACTTCTTCTGAATAAGAAAATTTTAGCTTTTTGCGTTTCAGATACCTAGAACAGCTAGAATAAATTTACACCGTCTGTCATTTATGGTGACCAGGATATAACAGAAAAGAAGAGCATTTTTGTTACTTAAAAAATAAAAATAAATTTTTAAAATAAGGTGAAGAGATAACGTTATTCACTTTCTTCGTTTCCCTATAAAAAGTTTCTAAAAAATATATATTTTAAAGATCTTTTAAATCAGAATACCTCCGTTAATAATTCTTTACATTCTCTTCCTGACAGAAGAGATTTTACCACTTCTCAATATAAATATAAATTTATCTTGTTATGGTTTTATTCGATTATTCCGACGTTTTTATATTTGTGATTTAATTAGATTATTGTTTAATGTTTTAGTCTAGACTAATGTTTAATGTTTTAGTATGTAAACTTGAATATTAATTATCATGTTTTTTTTATATTTATCTTCTTCTATCGTAGTAATCCGTTCGGAAGAAGACTAAATACAGTCGAAACGTTAAGCATGTGTATTGTTTATTTAAGAAATTGTTTTTATTTTAATTCAATATCTCTCTGTTGTTGCTCGTGGCCGCTTATAAACATTAATAGCTAATATAAATTTAATTAGAGTAAAAAGAACATTATGAACTACTTTTTTTCTCGATATAGTTAATATGTAATTATTGTTATGCATTTAAATATTAAATTTAAATACTATTATGCTAAAGTAAAGATTTTTAATGTAAGACTTTTTTTAATATAAGAGCAAATTTGCCAGAACGGGGATTTCTATACATTACATTTACGAATTTTAGTTTTTATGTTTATAAATATTTTTTTAATTAATTATAATTGCAATATTTATATTTATAAATTTCAAATATATATATATATATATATATTTATTTATTTATAAATATAAAAATTAAAATTTGTAAATATAAACGTAAATGTAACGTATAGCGCATCGTCGATTTGCCAACGCAAGACTCGGCATTCGGCGAGATCCGTGGCTTGCGGTTCAGGACATCAATACGTGTTTATATGGAAAATGTTTTGGGATAAGAATTTTACGGATCATAAACGAATGATTATTGTTAAGAAGTAAAGCGCACCACTAACCTAACCTATATAGGTTAGTGGCGCGCTTTACGCATGCGCAAGCGTCTAAAGCGCATGCTTGTATCGCTGCATTTCGTCGATATGTCAAATTTTCTAACCTAAATTGTAATCAACTGTAATGCTAGGTCTACAATGCGAGTCGTAAAGTCGTGAGTCGTAAGAATTGACTGATCACAATCGAATTTGAAGAGAATAATCGACTGTGATTGGTCAATTCTTACGACTCACGACTTTACGACTCGCATTGTAGACCTAGCATAAGTGCCCGTCTACAATATGTGTTGTAAGCCATAAGCCCTAAAAAATTGACCAATCAAATACTACGTTTACGCGAGCGTTACTTCTGTAGTAACTTACGGTAATTTACTCGTTTACGCGGAGTAAATTATCGTAAGTTACTACAAAATCCCGTTTACGCGAAGGAATTATCGTAAGTTACTACAGAAGTAACGCTCGCGTAAACGTAGTAACAGTCAATTATTCTCCTCAAATTCAACTGTGATTGAACAATTTCTTAAGGCTTAGGGCTTAAAACACCTATTGTAGATGGGCACTAACAATTAATATCTCGCTTCGCGAGGCAGACCGCCGCGTTTATCTGCCAGATTCTTTTATTTCGTGCAAAAATGCGTTGATTGAACATAATTTCATCTGTATTCGCGTTCAAGCTCGTATTCTAAATAAATACCTAATAGTCAATATCATCAGAAATACTGGCATTTAGGGCCAAAGCACATAACATGGCGTAGCGATATACGACGGTCGTAGTCCCCGACGACAGATCAGGATACGCCAAAGCTTGTGCGTTACTTACGTCCACGACGTCCACGACTACGTACTGTCATATGTGCTTTGGCCCTTACTTAATAACATTTGTGCTTTTATACGTACCGGCGATTCAATACTAATGGAGCGATTTATAGCAAATAAAATTACACGTGCACGTGTATAGAGTTATGTTTTACAGTACGTTTATGACATAGACTTAGGAAGAGATAGACGGAACGTAAGCCTGCAGGGATTAAGGCCGGTACGTATTCATAGTCGGTTCTTATAAGACCATCTTAAGGGGATCCTAAAGCCGTCTGTAATACCGGCTTTTTTTCTTAGCACTAATTTTTTAATTGACTTTATAGAAATGCAAAATTCTTGTCTAGAATTAAAGTACGCATCAAAATCTAGGTCATGGTGGTCAAATTTATATCGAAAACGAAAAAAAATTAATATTTTTGTTAATTTTTGGTATACGTGACGACAATATTTGCTTTGTACAAAAATTTCACGATAAATATCCACAAAATTAGACCGGCATGACCTAGGGAGAACATTTAAGAACAATATCGTGCAATTAGATCTAAGATTGAAAACCTAGAAAAAAAGATTACTTTATATAACTTTTATATGTGCAAAAGCACATTCAGGTTGACAGGATAAGCAATATTGCGTGTGGCAAGAGATGGCGCAGTAATTGAACAAAGACAGATGCCTCTCGTTAGACAAGGACAGATATAGATATATGACAAGAAAACAGAATTAGAAATGTTGACATTACCGACGTCGAGAAAGTTCAGCCTTCACTTTAGGATCCCCTTAAGGGGATGCTAAAGTGACTCAATTACCGACAATTAAGGTGCCTTTTCATGCTGACGCTCGACGCTCATTTTCAGCGGCAAGAAGGTCGCATGACCACAATTGACGCCGGCGTCAATTGAAATTCATGAAAAGGAAAACAGCGTCAAAATTTCGGCGTCTTCGCGCTGCTTTGGCTTTGACGCTTAAAGCTGAGAAAATCCAGCTTTCTTTGCTTGACGCTAGCGTCAGATCGAAATCACGTGATCTCGCGATACGCTGAAACAAGCGTCCCATGAATTCGTACCTTTAAGGTGCCAATTCATGGGACGCTGAAAAACAGCGTTGAGCGACGTCACGTGACATCACTATGATGCCAGCGTCAAGAAAGAGAAGTTGGATTTTTCCAACTTCAAGCGTCAAAGCCAAAGCAGCGCGAAGACGCCGAAATTTTGACGCTGTTTTCCTTTTCATGAATTTCAATTGACGCCGGCGTCAATTGTGGTCATGCGACCTTCTTGTCGCTGAAAATGAGCGTCGAGCGTCAGCATGAAAAGGCACCTTTACAGTCAAAGGTCTAATTTTGAAACAGCTTTATAGATCGCAAAATTCTTTTACAGGAGTAAAGTATAGGTACTAATGAAGGGTGGGAATGTAAAATAATTAGTAATAATTGAAAAAAATTAAAAATGCTGTTACCTCATTTTCTAATATAAACAGTTGTATAAGTAATGTGTACGAAATGAAATGTTCCCACCCTTCAGAAGACGTACGTGCATAAACAATAACGTACCTTTGAAATTAAGATTGAAAGCCTGGAATAAAAATGAGACGTTCGAAGAAATTATAACCTATATAACCATGTCTATCCTTGTCTATCATCATTGTCTATACAAGGACAGATATAGAATTTGGTCGGTAATACAAACGGCTTTAGGATCCCCTTAAGGTGATCCTAAACCCGTGATCCTAACCGGTTTTTTTTAGTTTTTTTCTTAGCACTAATCTTTTAATTGGCTTTATAGAAATGTAAAATTCTTGTCTAGAATTAAAGTACGCATCAAAATCTAGGTCATGGTGGTCGAATTTATATGTAGTGGTCGTCACGTATAACAAAAAATATTAATTTTTTTTTGTTTTTGATATAAATTCGACCACCATGACCTAGATTTTGATGCGTACTTTAATTCTAGACAAGAATTTTGTATTTCTATAAAGCCAATTAAAAGATTAGTACTAAGAAAAAAAACCGGTTAGGATCACGGCTTTAGGATCACCTTAAGTACAATCTTAAGATGTCATCAAGGATGTCATTAAGACTTCTAAGACTCCTGGGTAGTCACCGCAGCCATATTGAATTTCTTGCTATCGAGGCGAGAAATTACCCTATTTTATGTTGCGGTATTTTCCGAAATAAAAAGATATTTCAATAAAAAATCACTATAGATCGTTTCAGCACACTTCTAAAATTGACCGGATACTATCCTTTTCCCTCGACAATAAACAAACAGCCATAAAACGAAGCCTAAACATACGGAAAAACAAGCCGTTTTCGACTATCGAAAGGAGTGGAGAATGTTCCTTCCGCATATGTATTTCTTGCAAATCTTACCATACGGTCAATTTTACGAGTTTCACGAATACGTTAAACGTTATAGCACAAGTACAAAGCGAATAATAAAGAAATTTAACGCAACGCAAAATAGGTTGTCAACATGTCACAAGACAGAATTCTCCATTGGAGAGAGTGAGAGGAGAGAGTTCTTATTTCTGCCGCGACGGTACGGCGCCACCGTCAACGCAGAGTTCTCGGCTCAGGAACCAGGAGCCTTAACCTTAACCAATCACAGAGCCGTATTAGCATCTTAAGATATTACTTAAGACGGTCTTGAAATAAGATGATTATGAATACCGGCCTAAGGCTCTATAAATGTGAGTATACTCGTTCGCCATTTTTCTTCCAACCGCATTTAAAAGATTATGTTTTCGTAAACATCAATACGCTTTTCGGTGTCTTGATTAATCCAAAAATTTAACTAAATATCGATTCTGTTACACTCAAAATAAGTGTTAATTGATTCTTAATTGATTAGACGTGTGTTCTTAAACGCGCGACAATAGAATTCGTTTTATAAGTGTCATATTTTTCGTAAATCAACACATCGTGTCTCCGTTTCATTGTGCATATTTAGAGCAGCAATTTTAAGGGCCGAAGGTATGTTATTTAAATAATATTTATCACAAAAAAATTGTCTTCATATTGCAGTTTTGTCATATTTTCACATATTTGTGTTTTTAGATTAAGTTTTGGCTGTTTGTAAAATGTTAACTGAGGACAATAAAAAAAATCCAAGTCGCATCCTGAGCCAAATGTAGAGGTAATTGCCGCATAAATTCCTAATTTTTTCTTTCGTTTATTAATTAAATATCGTATTCGGCCAACAAGCTTTCAATTTTTTGATCTGTGTAATACTCTTGAAGTTTATGCCTGTTCTAGACTAGAGAATGGTCCTACTCGCGGCTCATCCTAGTGAGTAGTGTAGACGGATAAAAATCATTGATTATCTATGATTTTTACCCGTCTACCCTACTCACTAGGATAAGCTGCGAGAGGGATCATCCTCCAGTCTAGAACGAGCATTAATAGGGTCCTGAAATAAATAGGAGTATATTAAATATGACAAATGGAGTATTAAATTAATAAATAAAAGAAAAAATTATGAATTTATGCGGTAATTACCTCTACATTTTGTCCAGAATGCGATGAACTTGGATTTTTTTTTATTATCCTCAGTTGACATTTTTGCAGCTATAAAGATCTAAAAACACAAATATGTAAAAATGTGACAAAACTGCAATATAAAAGACAATTTTTTGCGATAAGTATTATCAAGAGACACGGTAGTGTCTCGTGCCAAGTACACGCGGAGCGAGACCGACCGTGACTCTTTTACGCGACGCGACGGGTTGCGAGTACCCGAGATGTTGAGATCTCGATAACGAGTGAACGGATCAAGTTCTAAGTAGGCTTGATCGATAGCTTGGGGTCCAATTAGTTTAAATAACATACCTTCGGCCCTTAAAATTGCTGCTCCAAATATGTGCAATGAAACGAAGACACGATGTGTTGATTTACGAAAAATATGACACTTATAAAACGAATTCTACTGTCGCGCGTTTAAGAACACACGTCTAATCAATTAAGAATCAATTAACACTTATTTTGAGTTTAACAGAATCTATATTTAAGTTAAATTTTTAGATTAATCGCGACACCGAAAAGCGTATTAATGTTTACAAAAACATAACCTTTCACATGCGGTTGGAAGAAAAATAGCGGACGAGTATGTACATACTTTTTTAGAGCTCTACGGGGATAAGCAAGTGTGAAGTTAGCAATACGTGGCAATACCACATTGACTTTATGAACTTTTTTTGTCCGAAATAATTGTTGGTATTTTGTTGGAATTTGTTGGATTAATTAGAAAATTTGTTGGTTGCCCAGTTTTTGGAAAATTGAAAACAAAATGTTGCGCGTCACACCGACTTGCACTACCACACATACAAAAATCCTTTGATTGGTTCCCCCTAAAATAATGCCGATGCGCAGTACGGATCGGCGCAAACCACAAAACAGGGTTGAGTGAACATACTGGTTATACAGGTTATACTGTGCACGTGCTCCACACGCTGGTTTTTCATTTGTTAGTTTGTTACAGATCAGCATCAATGACAACAAGACGAACGACGTAAACAATAGTGATGCTCTTGCGAGAAACTTGTAATTATTCGTTGAATAATACTTCGGACAACGAATTGTATTGTGACAACACTTACAGAACTAAATTATGCCGTAAATAAAATTCTTTTACAGCTAGACTGATGAAATATCAGCCTTTATTATCGATGAAAGCAATTTCAATGCTACTAGAACTAATTTCAATGTCGATGAAGCTCCAATTAGATAAGAAAAATAATGTCTTTAAAATTATTGGTGCGTTCTTTGACTATAGAAAAATATGATAAATTTCTGATGTTTTATCGTCGTTTGTATGTAACTAATAGTAGCACTATAAATGATCCGATACCTGGGATATCATTATTTCAAATAAAACATAGTCTAAAGCAAAAGCATATTGTCACCGTCGAAGGACATGCATGTATAATCGTCGAATGTCCTATATGTGACTCTGAAAAATCTAAGAAGTCAAAGATTTATATTAATAAGACAACAGGTAAAGAAAAACATCGTAAAATGTATAATAAGATAAATATTTTTGATAAAAGGTATGCAAATAGATAAAATTAAAATAATTTTTTCTTGTAAAAACTTGTTTATTCCAGGATACTTTGTATGTGATAAATGTAATTCTAAAGGAGAATGGAATATATTGGAGAAATTTTTGTCATTAACAAAACTGATCAAAACAAATAATACGCAAAAAGAATTGGAAACTTTGAGAAATGCTATAAAAGTTCAAGAAAATTATGTCTCACAATGGAATGACATAATAAAATCTAATCAGCAAATTGCAAATTTGTCATCAGAATCATATGAAAGAATACTAAATATGTTCTCCCTTTCAGTAAGATATTTAAATTAACATATAGATTTCATTGTTTATATATATGTGAGTGTTATACATTAAAGAAAATTGTTACAGAGAATTTCACAAGAGGACATCTTACAGTTAAATGGTGTATATGCGACTTCACCAGCATTACTATATTTTCCATTAATTGCTTTTGGCAATGTGGTGGGTTATAAAACCCTTTCTAGTGAACCAGAATTAGAACAAACTGTACCTATTTGTAACGTTGGTGGATTTATCATTTATAAGCAGAAAGGTACTAGAAGCGATGGGACTGCAGTGGTTGTGCCAACAATACATGATTTATTAGCAATAGCATCTCAAAAGGCAGCAAATGTGATTGTCTGCTTGCCATACAATTTGCAGCATTTACCACAGCAGTTGTTGCCAAATTTTGAAAATTTTAAAAAATTAATTATGTGGTTTGGAAATGATGAACCGAGTTGGTATACAGCCAGACAGTTCGCTAAAAAATTAAATGAGAAGAGATGTTACTTTGTGAGACCAATCGACACGCAACCTAGACCAAAACTAGCCGCTGACAGAGGCTATGATCTTAAAAGTATCTTGACAAACGCACAACCGATCTGGCATAAAAGTATTACTACCTTCGACGATCTCAGGCAAGATGTATTATGCGATTTGCAAAATATAGACAGAGTCCAAGGTGTAAAGTGGAAAAGATATCCTGCTTTAAATCGAATTTTAAAAGGACACAGAAGAGGAGAGTTTACGATTCTAACTGGCCCAACTGGTAAGATAATAATAGACCAGTTAACTACTGAAACAAGAAGATTACTAAATTACTTTCATGAGAGGATACTGCTCACAAAATTATATATTTTTACACACTAATAAATTTTTAGGCAGTGGCAAAACTACATTTATGAGTGAATATTCGCTAGATTTAGCAATGCAAGGTGTCAATACACTATGGGGCAGTTTTGAAATCAGAAATGCTCGACTAGTCAGAACCATGCTACAACAAATGGCAGAGGTGTCTTTAGAAGACAACTTGGACAAATTCAACACATATGCAGATGCTTTTAACAAATTACCAATTTACTTTATGACTTTTCACGGTCAGCAGAACATCAAAGTTGTTATGGATGTAAGATCATATGACATTATCTATAAAAGAAAAATTGGTATTATGTGTAACTTTTCGCTTTTTTTATTTCAGGCAGTTGAACATGCAACGTATGTGCATGACATAGCTCATGTGATAATTGACAATATGCAGTTTATGATGGGTATGTCAGAAGAACTGACCGATAGGTGAGACGAATGTTTTATTTCTTTTTGCAAAATTGATTTTATTTATATATTTATATATTATTGCATATCATAGGTTTTGGAAACAGGACAAGATCATAGCAGAGTTCAGGAATTTTTCTACAAAGTATAACTGCCACGTTACTTTGGTTATACATCCGAGAAAGGAGCGAGATGAAGAATTGACAACTTTGTCTATTTTTGGCAGCGCCAAGGCGAGTCAAGAAGCTGATAATGTATTGATTATACAAGATAAAAGACTTATTAGTATAAAAGGAAAGAAATATTTGCAGGTATGTATGCAAATGTTAGATGGTATATATTCTAATCTTCAATATGACGAGTTATTTTATCTTGTGTCACTAGGTTGCGAAGAATAGATATAGCGGAGATTTGGGTATAATGGTTCTAGAATTTGACAAAACCAAACTCAGTTATGCGCAAAAGAAAAAGGTGAAATCAGAAGAAGTGAATAAAACAAAAGAAACAAAAGAAACTCCTATTCCTTCGGTAAAAAATTGAATTAAGATTATAGTAAAAATTCGACCAAAATATTGAAAAAGATTTGCTGTAAGAATCGATGTATATTTTAATAGTGAAGTATAGATTTTGTATGAATTTCTGAGATGTTTTTTGTACAAAGCTCAAAAGAGAAAAAGAATTCAGAGATATAATATATATTTATATATTATAGAAAAATAGATATAAAAAAAAATATATTTTTTGACATAAGATTGGTTAAAACCATGTGATATGTGATTTATGTTGCGTATGATTTCCTGTTTTATCGATTGCGCATACCTACGCACTTGTGATAGTGATAATAGGCAAAGGATGAGAAGAATAGATCATGTCGTCAGGTCATCTCTTTATGTAATCTTCATTCTTCTATTTAGAATTTTCGATAGGCTACGCGAAAAGATATGTGCGTGATTAGAATGTATCTACTATCCGCATCACGATGATTCTTCGAGGATATTTAATGGTATATTCCGTTGTTGGTCTCGTGTTGTTGGCTACGTGCAATGCGATCTCGAAAGAACCGACTGTGTTGATCGGTGTTCTAGTCAGAAACAAGGCGCACACTTTGCCGTACTTTCTGAGTCTGCTGGAGCGACAGGATTACCCGAAGAAGCGGATAAGTTTATGGTGAGTGACAAGACATAACCTCACTCCTTCGGCAACGACATCGTAAAACCCGCGAGATTATTTAAAATCGTCAACGTAACAATTGTCAGTGTCGATGTGCTATTACAATTAAAGTCAGCGTGTGTTCAATTTAAACAACACGAGAATTCACGCGTCTCCGGTTACTTATAAAAGTCAAGGATTGCCTGATATTTGAATAATTATAATATAATCGTCGAATGAGATTAAATGGTCTCAATTATGAGGAAATTAATTACAGATACCTTGAAACAATTATTCCATCGGGATTTTCTGTCATTGATGTGCATTTTTGTTTGCTCTCTGTCGCGGTTTCTTTACTTATAAACTTGAAGTTACCCGCCAATCGATACGGCGCATGCGAAAATACAGTGGTATACATACAATCACTGACAATTAAGTACTACGTTTACGCGAGCGTTAACTGTAGTAACTTTACGATAATTCCTTCGCGTAAACGGGTTACTTCTGTAGTAACTTTACGATAATTCCTTCGCGTAAACGGGATTTTGTAGTAACTTATGATAAATGATAATTTAAGCCCCTTGCACAATAGGCAATAGCGATAGCGATAGCGACAGCGATAGCAATAGCGACAAAATTTCTGACGAGTTGGAATTCTGTATCTATTGCCTTGTAGCCAACCAATCAGCGTTCAGAATTTTGCCGAGACGAACGTTTTGAATGTTTTGAGTCGTACGTATATTAAGTATAGGTTATATTGTAGTATTTTGAAAAAAAAATATATGGAAATTTTGTATTGTTGACAACTTGAACTTCAATAAATACTATAATAGATGTTTTATGGAAATCAGGTCATTTATTTATTAAAATATAAAAATTAATACACATTATTATTATTACTTCTATACCATATTTCACAGTATAATAAAGCAGAATAGCGCGTGCATAGAACATGTCAGTTTTATAAAAATTATATATACAGAAACGGCAGAATTTCAACTCGCATCACGATGTAGTCCTTGATGTATATATTCGTACTGCCACGGAACTTCGCCAGCAGCTGTCATGAAATATCCCGCATCGAATAAGCCGCTCTCGTAGTTCTATGTGCTCCACATCTTCCGATGGGTCTTAAATGATCATTTCCTGGTAATTCTCGCCATTTTCCTTCAATTATTTGCCCATCAATTTCTCTATCAGCGAATTGAGGGGGACAATATCTTTGCTGCTGTCTCGTCGTTTTTTGTTTTTATAAAATTGTGCAAACACATTGCTGCTAGCACAAATTTGTCGACGACTTTTGGCCCAGCGCAAATTGGCCTCCGAAGTATCCTCCATCTGGCTGCAAGGATACCAAATGTATTTTCTATTGTTCTCCTAGCTCGTGACAGTCGATAGTTAAAAATTCTTTTTTGGTCATTTAAAGCCCTGCCCGGGTAAGGTCGCATGACGTTTATCGACATTTGGAAGGCTTCGTCGCCAACAAAATAGCAAGGCGTTTCCTTATCGCTTCCTGGTAGACGAGCTGTTCCTTTTGGCAAGTTGAGTGTACCTCCATATAAAGCTTTTCCGAAGGCTGATCTTGACAGAATTTCTCTATCAGAATCGCTGCCATACGCGCCAATATCGAACAACATAAATCGATATCTAGCATCACAAACAGCCATCAGCACGATGCTAAATGTCTTCTTATAATTGAAATAGACAGATCCAGAGTTCGGAGGTGCCTGTGTGTTTACCATCAATTGCTCCAACACAATTTGGCAAATTCCTCAAAGTTAAAAAATCTGCGCAGATCTTTTTCCATTGTTCTTCTGTTGGAGGTTTCATGCAGATTGGCATTAAAACATTTGCTATAACGGAGCATGTTTCTTTCACGATGATATGAGCTGTGGACTCTCCTACTCTATAGGCTAGAGTCACAGATAACATTTGATCTCCTGTTGCCAAATATCTGCAACAAAATTATTTTAATAATGTATTTATTTATTAATTTAAAAAATAATATTAAATTTTTTTATTTTACTCTAATTTTATGGGCTGTAGCCTTTTTTGCAAAAGGACCACGCACTAATTATATGAAAAAAGTGGCCACCGTTAAAATCGACAAAAACTACGGAAAACTGTAGTTTGTGTGATGCCGATAAAAAGTTCAAATCCGCACAACCCTCGAAATATGCTAATTTTTAAGCTACGAGCCTATAAAGGTAATATTGGTGGTATAAAACGTACACATATTATAGCATACCCACTCTTTAGCGTTACCCAAGATCAACCAGCGTGGAG